CAACTGTATCATCTACCAAGGAGAAAGTTAAAGTACCACCACAGGTAAAGGTATACACCTGCATCATCTACCAAGGAGACAGTGTAAGTACCACAGCTGGTAAATTTAAGGTATACAAGTGTATCATCTACCAAGGAGACAGTGTAAGTACCACAGCTGGTAAAGGTATACAACTGTATCATCTACCAAGGAGACAGTTTAAGTACCACCACTGGTAAAGGTATATAACTGTATCATCTACCAAGGAGACAGTTTAAGTACCATCGCTGGTAAAGGTACACATCTGTATAATCTACCAAGGAGACAGTTTAAGTACCACCACTGGTAAAGGTCTACACCTGTATCATCTACCAAGAAGACAGTTTGAGTACCACTGCTAGTAAAGGTATACAACTGTATCATCTACCAAGGAGACAGTTTAAGTACCACTGCTAGTAAAGGTATTTAAAGTTCTGTATCATCTACCAAGGAGACAGTTAAAGTACCACTGCTGGTAAAGGTATACAACTGTATCATCTACCAAGGAGACAGTGTAAGTACCACCACTGGTAAAGGTATACAACTGTATCATCTACCAAGCAGACAGTGTAAGTACCACCACTGGTAAAGGTATACAACTGTATCATCTACCAAGGAGACAGTGTAAGTTCCATCACTGGTAAAGGTATACAACTGTATCATCTACCAAGCAGACAGTGTAAGTACCACCACTGGTAAAGGTATACAACTGTATCATCTACCAAGGAGACAGTTTAAGTACCACCACTGGTAAAGGTCTACACATTTATCATCTACCAAGGAGACAGTGTAAGTACCACCAGTATTTACCAGTATTGACCAGTATTTGCCAGTATTTCCCGATTTTTGACCTTGTCCTTACCAGCAGTGGTAAACACTGTGTACCCCCAAGACACTACATGTAGATAACTTTACCAGCAGTAGTGCTTAAAACTGTCTCTTAGGTATATGATATACTTGGATATCTACCCCAGCAGTGTTGCTGAGCACAGTCCAGGATATGTGATATAATTGGGTATCCTTACGAGCAGTGGTGCTTAACACTGTCTACTTGGTAGATGGTAAGGGTATTGAAGTGTATTATCTATCAAGTAGACGGCTGGTGAGGGTACCCAGATGTACCATCTTCCAAGTAGACAATGTAAAGCACCACTGCAGGTAAGAGTACCCATGTACTCAGAAGACAGTGATAAGCACTGATAAGGGTATCCAATTGTAACATCAACCAAGCAGACAGTGTTTAGTATCACTGCTGACAAGTGCTACTAAGGGTATCCAAAAGTCCAATATGCCAAGTAGACATTGTTAAGCATCACTGCTGGTAAGGGTACCCATGTACTCAGAAGACAGTGTTTAGTACCAATGCTGATATGGGTACCTAAATGTTCAATTTATCAACTAGAGAGTGTTAAGCACCACTGCTGTTAAGATTATCCATTTACCTAGTAGACAGTTTTCAGTACCACTGCTGGTAAGGGTACCCTTACTCCCAGTAGACAGTGTTTAGCACCACTGCTGGTAAGGATACCCCAATGTACCATCTACCAAGTAGACAGTGTTTAGTACCACTGCAAGAAAGGGAACCTGTCTACCCAGTAGATGCTGTTTAGTACCACTGCCAGTATGGTTATCCAAGTTTACACTCTACCCAGTACAGGCTGGTTATTCCAACTTAAAAGATAATTGTTTAGAACCACTGCCGGTAATCCTAACCAAATGTAACCGCTATTTAGTACCACTACTGGTTAAAAGTGTATCATCTACCCAGTATGGTGTTAGTAGCACTGCTGGTAGGGGTATCCAAGTCTACCACCTACCCAGTAGACAGTGTTTAGTACCACTGCTGGTAGGGGTATCCAAGTCTACCATCTACCCAGTAGACAGTGTTTAGTACCACTACCTGTAAGGGTATCCAAGTCTACCACATACCCAGTAGACAGTGTTTATTACAACTACCTGTAAGGGTATCCAAGTTTACCACCTACCCAGTAGACAGTGTTTAGTACCACTGCTGGTAAGGGTATCCAAGTCTACCAACTACCCAGTAGACAGTGTTTAGTACCACTACCTGTAAGGGTATCCCAGTCTACCACCTACCCAGTAAACAGTGTTAGTAGCACTGCTGTAAAGGGTATCCAAGTCTACCACCTACACAGTAGACAGTGTTTAGTACCACTGCTGGTAGGGGTATCCAAGTGTACCATCTACCCAGTAGACAGTGTTAAGTACCACTACCTGTAAGGGTATCCCAATCTACCACCTACTCAGTAAACAGTGTTAGTAGCACTGCTATAAAGGTATCCAAGTCTACCACCTACACAGTAGACAGTGTTTAGTACCACTGCTGTAAAGGGTACAACTCTGACCAGTGGACAAGTATCAGTACTACTTCTTGTTAGGGTACTTTAATGTGTTTATTCCCATTGTGGTTAAGGTACCCAAGAGTACCATCTACTCATTAGCTAGTGTATAGTTCCACTGCCCGTAAGCAAACTCATTTACAATGTATACAGTAGACAGTGTTTAGTACCACTGCTAGTAAGAAAACCCATTTATCCAGTAGACAGTGTTTAGAACCACTGCCCGTAGCAAAACCCATTTATCCAGTAGATAGTGTTTAGAACCACTGCCCGTAAGAACAGTGTTTAGAACCACTGCCCGTAAGAAAAGCCATGTATCCAGAAGACAGTGTTAAGAACCACTGCCCGTAAGAAAACCCATTTATCCAGTAGATAGTGTTTAGTACCACTGCCCGTAAGAAAACCCATGTATCCAGTAGACAGTGTTTAGTAGCACTGCCCGTACGTAAGAAAACCCATTTATCAAGTAGACAGTGTTGAGTACCATTGCCCGTAGGCAAACCCATTTATCCAGTAGACAGTGTTGAGTACCACGGCCCTTAAGGATGTTCGCTACTCTTGTTTTTGACTTTTTGTCAGATATTCGGAATCCTCTAGTTTTATCCATGTTAGTACCAATAAAAATGTTGCCCGCTAACCCCTAATTTTCTTTTCATAATCTTATTACATATAGTTTAAATAGCCATATTTGAAAATGCTATAAAATCCTTGTTATTTTTTCATAATTTTTTAAAGAAAAAGGGTGCCAATGTTAAATGTATGAAAAGTCTAGAGAGAATTATTTCCTGCCAAATTTTCAATGGCTTATATCTCGAAAACAAGCACACGGACCCTTAATTTTTTTCTGCTTTTTTAGTTCCTTTATTTATATACTATTAATTTATAACAGTCTTTTACAAAGCTTGTTATTTTGAAACAGAGTAGCAAACATCCTTAAGAAAACCAATGTATCCAGTAGACAGTGTTTAGTACCACTGCCCATAAGAAAATCCATTTATCCAGTAGACAGTGTTTAGTAACACAGCCCGTAGGAAAACCAATGTATCCAGTAGACAGTGTTTAGTACATGGCTCATAAGAAAACCCATGTATCCAGTATCCAGTGTTTAGCACCACTGCCCATAGGAAACCCATGTATCTAGTAGACAAGTGTTTTATACCACTGCCCATAGGAAACCCATTTATCCAGTAGACAGTGTTTAGTGCCATTGCCCTTAAGAAAACCCATTTATCCAGTAGACAGTGTTTAGTACCATTGCCCTTAGGCAAACCCATTTATCCAGTAGACAGTGTTTAGAACCACTGCCCTTAGGCAAACCCATTTATCCAATAGACAGTGTTTAGTACCACTGCCCTTAGGCAAACCCATGTATCCAGTAGAAAGTGTTTAGTACCACTGCCCTTAAGAAAACCCATTAATCCAGTAGACAGTGTTTAGTACCACTGCCCGTAAGCGAACCCATTTATCCAGTAGACAGTGTTTAGTACCACTGCCCTTAGGCAAACCCATGTATCCAGTAGACAATGTTTAGTACCACTGCTCTTAGGCAAACCCATGTATCCAGTAGACAGTGTTTAGTACCACTGCCCTTAGGCAAACCCATTTATCCAGTAGACAGTGTTTAGTACCACTGCCCTTAGGCAAACCCATGTATCCAGTAGACAGTGTTTAGTACCACTACCCGTAGGCAAACCCATGTATCCAGTAGACAGTGTTTAGAACCACTGCCCGTAAGAAAACCCATGTATCCAGTAGACAGTGTTTAGAACCACTGCCCGTAAGAAAACCCATGTATCCAGTAGATAGTGTTTAGAACCACTGCCTGTAAGAAAACCCATGTATCCAGTAGACAGTGTTTAGTGCCACTGCCCGTAAGAAAACCCAAGTAGACAGTAGACAGTGTTTAGTATCAAGGCTCGTAAGAAAACCCATGTATCCAGTAGACAGTATTTTTTACAACTGCCCGTAAAAAAAATCATTTATCCAGTAAACTGTGTTTAGTACCACTGCCCGTAAGAAAACCCATGTATCCAGTAGACAGTGTTTTGTACCACGGCACGTAAGAAAACCTATTTATCCAGTAGACAGTGTTTAGTGTTTTTCACGAAAGCCAAGAAGAAAATATTAAAGACCGGTTTGATATCAGTATGCCGTTATTTTGTTTACTTCTTCAGTTTGACTGGACACTTTCAGTTGGGTACGAGTCCCCATGAATACCTTGAACCTTGCAGCAAATCCTACTCAACTGTCTGAGTTTACTTTTAATTTGAGAAATAAACAGGACTAAATAATGAAAAACAATTGCTTTCAGTGTCCTCCTTTTGGCTTTATTTGGTGTTATAACTCTTTACACTTTGATATTTTGAAAATTTTATTGTGAATGCACAAAGTGATATTGTTGTTTTAAATGTCCATATCCTGACTATGTGGCATGGGTTTGCTCATTGTTGAAGGTTGTATGGTGACCTATAGTTGTTAATTTCTGTGTCATTTGGTCTCTTGTGGAGAGTTGTCTCATTGGCAATCATACCACATCTTCTTATTTTATGTATGGTGCATCAATAAATATTGATTTCAGGTTATTCTGTTTAAAAGTAAGAACTTGTACGGTAATATACGTACCTGCAAGTATTCCATTACTTTTTTGTTACTTTTATACATATCTGGATATTCCTTCAGGTTTGATGCTGCAAGATCATATGGAGTTTCACCCTGAAATCAGTGAAAAATATTAATATATATTTATATTTATCAAACAGATCTATTTTGCAACATCTATTTGCCATTAAACAGCTGAGTGGTATTTTATTTCATGTTGTGACCCCTCAGCTCTGATCATCACTTCATACCAGTAAAAGCACGGTGGTATTTTTTTCATTTTGTGACCCCTCAGCTCTGATCATCACTTCATCCCAGTAAAAGCTGGGTGGTATTTTATTTCATTTTGTGACCCCTCAGCTCTGGTCATTGCTGCATACGAGTAAAAGCTGGGTGGTATTTTATTTCATTTTGTGACCCCTCAGCTCTGATCATCACTTCATACCAGTAAAAGCTGGGTGGTATTTTATTTCATTTTGTGACCCCTCAGCTCTGGTCATCGCTGCATACCAGTAAAAGCTGGGTGGTATTTTATTTCATTTTGTGACCCCCTCAACTTTTATCATCACTTCATACCAGTAACAGCTGGGTGGAATTTTATTTCATTTCGTGACCCCTCAGCTCTGGTCATCACTTCATACCAATAACAGCTGAGTGAAATTTTATTTTATTTTGTGACCCCCTCAGTTCTAATCATCACTTCACACCAGTAACAGCTGGGTTTAATTTTATTTTATTTTGTGACCCCTCAGCTCTGATTATCACTTCATACCAATAACAGCTGAGTGAAATTTTATTTTATTTTGTGACCCCCTCAGCTCTAATCATCACTTCACACCAGTAACAGCTGGGTTTAATTTAATTTTATTTTGTGACCCCTCAGATCTGATCATCACTTCATACCAGTAACAGCTGGGTGGAATTTTTATTTTATTTTGTGACCCCTCAGCTCTAATCATCACTTCATACCAGTAACAGCCATGTGGAATTTTATTTTATTTTGTGACCCCTCAGATCTGATTATTACTTCTTGAACTTAGTTACATATTTCAACAAGCAAAAAATTGCAGTTGCTGAGAAAAAAAAAGTGATAAACATTTTATATTCATGTAAATTAGTGTCTCTGTGTTGATTGCTGTGTATCGTCCAGCGGCAAATATTAAATGCATATTAAGGATTGTAAATGTTACAGTACCACCATTATTCTGGACTTTGTATTCGACTGACATGTTAACTCAAGCGAGCTAGCTCAAATAGCCCCAGTTTACAAGAATAAATGTCATCATACTCTGATATATTATTCTGACTCTGAGCCAAAGAGTCTAAGCTTTTTTCCCTAAATGATGTAGAATTGGCAGAAGGACATTTATTTACACACCTGAGTTCACCAGTAACTGAATTCTATACAAACAGCAATGTTATACTGTAAATTCAGAAATTATTGCGAGTTTTTATTAATGCAAATAATGCGACCGGGTGAGTATCGCATTAATATGAACTCGTATTCTGATAACTGAAACATAGACCTGTATGCAAATTTTTTGGAAATCACAATAATTCAACTCGCATTTTTGTCCATTCCTGAAAAATCGCAATAATAAATGCACGCAATAATTTCTGAATTTAAAGCAATGTATCTAGACAGGTCCATAATATCTTAACTCAAATTTGCCAGAAATATCACTTAAGTGTTGTATCTTGGTTAACATTTATAACAATAAAAACCTTGTACCAAACAGATTTTACACATCATCTAAGTGATCCATAAATTAATTGAACACTGGGCATATACTATAAAATATTACCTCAGGTGTTGTAACCAAGGGACTGATACCTCCTTGTTCTACAAGATATCTTGTGACCTGAAGATGTCCAGACTGAGCAGCCAGGTGTAAAGCTGTTTCTCCGTCTCTCTATAATATAACCAAATAACATGTAAATATTATGGACAATACTTTGTTATCAATATCAATAATATACAACATATCCTACAACTGACATTAAAACTGATAAACTGGACAATGTTGTGTAATAAATATAAACAAAATATATATCACATGAATCAGTGGCCAAAACTGAATAAAATGACCAGTCACACTTGTATTTATGTTCAATATAAACAATAAATAAACATGTTTTGTTGTGAAATGTCAAAACTTCCATTAAACCTGATATCTTAAAAAAAAATTTTTTTCAAGAAATGTGTAAAATAATTATATCAAAGGATTCAGTAGAACAAAACAAGCAAAATGAGACCCCACTTTATATGATTCTTACAAATATTTGTTCATTAAAACTGTCTAATTATCAACAGGATTTAGTGTAGATTCAGTATAATCATTCATTTGAATAAAATATTTTTTTTAAAGAAACATAAAAGAAGCTATATTTTCTGATTCAGAACAATAATATGAGTAAAATGAGACCCCACTTGATATAATTATTACAAATATTTCTTCATTAAACCTGTCTGATTAACAACATGATTTTGTGTTGATTAATAGTAATGTGATCAGACTAAGTAGATAACATACTGCTGTGGTGTCGATCTTACATCCTGTATCAATGAGAAGTCTACAGACCTCCAGGTGTCCTCTACTGGCAGCAAACATTAATGCTGTCCATCCATCCTCCTGGAATAATACAACTGACATCAAAACTTGTCTGATAAACTGGACAATGTTGTGTAATAAATATAAACAAAATATATATCACATGAATCAGTGGTCAAAACTGAATAAAATGACCAGTCACACTTGTATTTATATTCTATATAAACAATAAATAAACATATTTTGTTGTGAAATGTCAAAACTTTCATTAAACCTGATATCTTAAAAAAAAATTTTTTTTCAAGAAATGTGTAAAATAATTATATCAATGGATTCAGTAGAACAAAACAAGCAAAATGAGACCCCACTTTATATGATTCTTACACATATTTGTTCATTAAAACTGTCTTATTAACAACATGATTTAGTGTAGATTCAGTATAATCATTCATTTTAATAAAATAATTTTTTTAAAGAAACATGAAAAGGAGTAATATTTTCTGATTCAGAACATTAATACGAGTAAAATGAGACCCCACTTGATATAATTATTACAAATATTTGTTCATTAAACCTGTCTGATTAACAACATGATTTAGTGTTGATTAATAGTAATGTGATCAGACTAAGTAGATAACATACATCTGTGTTGTCGATCTTACATCCTGTATCAATGAGAAGTCTACAGACCTCCAGGTGTCCTCTCTCGGCAGCATACATTAATGCTGTCTCTCCATACTCCTGGAATAATACAACTGACATCAAAACTTGTCTGATAAACTGGACAATGTTGTGTAATAAATATAAACAAAATATATATCACATGAATCAGTGGTCAAAACTGAATAAAATGACCAGTCACACTTGTATTTATATTCTATATAAACAATAAATAAACATATTTTGTTGTGAAATGTCAAAACTTCCATTAAACCTGATATCTTAAAAAAAAATTTTTTTTCAAGAAATGTGTAAAATAATTATATCAATGGATTCAGTAGAACAAAACAAGCAAAATGAGACCCCACTTTATATGATTCTTACACATATTTGTTCATTAAAACTGTCTTATTAACAACATGATTTAGTGTAGATTCAGTATAATCATTCATTTTAATAAAATAATTTTTTTAAAGAAACATGAAAAGGAGTAATATTTTCTGATTCAGAACATTAATACGAGTAAAATGAGACCCCACTTGATATAATTATTACAAATATTTGTTCATTAAACCTGTCTGATTAACAACATGATTTAGTGTTGATTAATAGTAATGTGATCAGACTAAGTAGATAACATACATCTGTGTTGTCGATCTTACATCCTGTATCAATGAGAAGTCTACAGACCTCCAGGTGTCCTTCCTGGGCAGCAAACATTAATGCTGTCACTCCATTAACCTGGAATAATACAACTGACATCAAAACTTGTCTGATAAACTGGACAATGTTGTGTAATAAATATAAACAAAATATATATCACATGAATCAGTGGTCAAAACTGAATACAATGACCAGTCACACTTGTATTTATATTCTATATAAACAATAAATAAACATGTTTTGTTGTGAAATGTCAAAACTTCCATTAAACCTGATATCTTAAAAAAAAAAAAAATTTCAAGAAATGTGTAAAATAATTATATCAATGGATTCAGTAGAACAAAACAAGTAAAATGAGACCCCACTTTATATGATTCTGACAAATATTTGTTCATTAAACCTGTCTGATTAACATCAGGATTAAGTGTAGATTCAGTATAATCATTCATTGTAATAAAATAATTTTTTTAAAGAAACATGAAAAAAAGTAATATTTTCTGATTCAGAACAATAATATGAGTAAAATGAGACCCCACTTGATATAGTTATTACAAATACTACTGACTATTTATAATTTTTATAAGATGTTTCTATATTAGATCTTTATAAATATAACTATCTGACTAAAGTAGTTAACAAATCCAAGTAAAACCTTAGTGTAAAAAATTGTTTCTTGTTAAGAAGCCAAATAAGAACTTTACCATCTATTATTCAGAACAAAAAGATAAATATTTTAAAGAGAATCCCTTCATGCATATTTTCCCAATAAAACTGTCTGATTAAAAACAGAATTTTGATTTAATGTTGATTCAGTATAATGATATAATTATCAGTTTCTATACAGACCTATGGTAGTTGAACTTTGCAGGCTTTTGTTTAGATTTTTACTCTTATTACCAATAGTCTAGATAGGTGGATTGTGCATAGCAAATATGGTTTAACCCCTCCCCATTAAGTGCTGGTACCAGATAAGACAACCCAGGCCATGAATTGTTAGTTACTTGTTTGTCTATTTACTCTGAGTAGTAGTAAGGTGTTTGTGGTTGTTGTGATCTGTTGTATCCCAGGCCTCAACAATAACGCTTGTCCGATTGTCCGGTACCAGAGGAAAAAATTGTCGGACAAGTAAAAGCTATATTAAGCTTGTCCGACGGGACAAGTAAAATTATTCTGCATGAAAATAAATTTAATCCAACTTTGATTAACAAAGTAATTATAAACAAAAAACAAGAAAACAAGATAAAAACAAGTATTAATTTGACATGTTTACTTGCAAACCGATAATATTAAACTGGTTCTTTGTCAGGTACTTTTTAATAGGTAAAAGGCATACTATTCTCGGAAACCAGTTTTACTGATCCGAATCAGCGATGCGCTTTGTAAAAAAAGGTAACTTTACAAGACAGTTCTTCACCAGCTCGGAAACGATTCGGCTCCTAAGTTTAATAGACAGTTTGGCACCGTAGGAGACATATTTAATAGATATGATTAATAGACAGTTTGGCAACGCAGGAGACATTCGGGACCAAGACAAATCAGTACCTGGTTTCCCACCTTATTCTGTTGCTTTATAATAAATACCATACCGGTAATTTTTTTAACAAAAATATTTTTTAAATAAAAATGAAGAAATTATTTACCATGAAATTCACAAAATCATATTTGATCATATGTAGAAAGAAACAATACTTGCAATACGGTGACCTATAGTTGTTAATTTCTGTGTCATTTGGTCTCTTGCAGAGAGTTGTCTCATTGGCAATCATACATCATCTTCTTTTTTTTATTGATTGCATTTGAATAATCTTTTTTCAACTTAAACAACCAGGATGCAAATCCAATGAGTGTACATTGACAGGCCTATCAGACGGTGCCTCATGTGCAGAGTCTGATGAGACTTTGGCATTGATGAAAACTAGAACCTAAACCCTGTGACATGACTAGATTCAGTTGTTCTCGACTCATATTTTTGAAAAGTATTTCAAAAGATATAAATCAAATTCTGTTCTATTGTTTTAATTCATTTTGTTCCTTGAATCAACTTATAAGGCAAAAAAGGTTATTATTAAGATTTATTTTGGACAAGTTACAATTTCATTCGGACAAGTAAGTTTTGGGTTGTACTTGTCCTACTGGACAAGTTGAAAAAAAAGTTATTGTAGAGGCCTGTATCCTATATTTTAGGCAATTCCTGTTAATACATATTTATGAATTATCAAAATTATAACGTTTTCAAGAAAATCAAACTCATTTTGAGTGTTATTTTTAATAATGTTGGATTATAGGAAGTAGATTACGCTGTTGTCATTTGATCACAGGTATGTTTCACATTCAGTGTTGTACTGTGATAACATGTAGGTTTCACATGCAGTGTTGTACTTTGATATCAGTGTTTCACATTCAGTGATGTACTTTGATAACATGTATGTTTCACATTTAGTGTTGTACTTTGATTACAGGTAGGTTTCACATTCAGTGATGCTTTGTGATTACAGGAATATTTCACATTCAGTGATGTGATTTGAGTACAGCTTTGATTACAGGTATGTTTTACATTCAGTGTTGTGCTTTGATTACAGTGTTTCACATTTAGTGATGTGCTTTGATTACAGGTATGTTTCACATTCAGTGATGTGCTTTGATTACAGGTATGTTTCACATTCAGTGATGTGCTTTGATTAAAGGTATGTTTCACATTCAGTGTTGTACTTTGATTACAGTGTTTCACATTCAGTGATGTGCTTTGATTACAGGTATGTTTCACATTCAGTGTTGTACTTTGATTACAGTGTTTCACATTCAGTGATGTGCTTTGATTACAGGTATGTTTCACATTCAGTGTTGTACTTTGATTACAGTGTTTCACATTCAATGATGATTTTTTATAACATGTATTTTTCACATTCAGTGTTGTACTTTGATAACAGTGTTTCACATTCAGTGTTGTCCTTTGATAACATGTATGTTTCACATTCAGTGTTCTACTTTGATATCAGTGTTTCCCATTCAGTGATGTGCTTTGATTTCAGTGTTTCACATTCAGTGATATGCTTTGATAACAGGTATGTTTCACATTCAGTGTTCTACTTTGATATCAGTGTTTCCCATTCAGTGATGTGCTTTGATTTCAGTGTTTCACATTCAGTGATATGCTTTGATAACAGGTATGTTTCACATTCAGTGATGTTTTTTAATAACATGTATGTTTCACATTCAGTGTTGTACTTTGATAACAGTGTTTCACATTCAGTGTTGTGCTTTGATAACATGTATGTTTCTAACTCAGTGATGTGCTTAGATTACAGGTACGTTTCAGATCCAGTGTTGTACTTTGATTACAGTGTTTCACATTTAGTGATGTGCTTTGATAACAGGTATGTTTCACATTCAGTGATGTGCTTTGATTACAGGTATGTTTCACATTCAGTGTTGTACTTTGATTACAGTGTTTCACATTTAGTGATGTGCTTTGATAATATGTATGTTTCACATTCAGTGATGTGCTTTGATAACAGGTATGTTTCACATTCAGTGTTTTACTTTGATTACAATGTTTCCCATTCAGATGTGCTTTGATAACATGTATGTTTCACATTCAGTGATGTGATTTGATTACGGGTATGTTTCACATTCAGTGATGTTTTTTAATAACATGTATGTTTCACATTCAGTGTTGTACTTTGATAACAGTGTTTCACATTCAGTGTTGTGCTTTGATAACATGTATGTTTCACACTCAGTGATGTGCTTAGATTACAGGTACGTTTCAGATCCAGTGTTGTACTTTGATTACAGTGTTTAACATTTAGTGATGTGCTTTGATTACAGTGTTTAACATTTAGTGATGTGCTTTGATAACAGGTATGTTTCACATTCAGTGATGTGCTTTGATAACAGGTATGTTTCACATTCAGTGTTTTACTTTGATTACAATGTTTCCCATTCAGAGATGTGCTTTGATAACATGTATGTTTCACATTCAGTGATGTGCTTTGATAACATGTATGTTTCACATTCAGTGATGTTTTTAATAACATGTATGTTTCACATTCAGTGTTGTTTTTTGATAACAGTGTCTCACATTCAGTGTTGTACTTTGATTACAGTGTTTCACATTTAATGATGTGCTTTTAAAACAGGTATGTTTCATATTCAGTGATGTGCTTTGATTACAGGTATGTTTCACATTCAGTGTTGTACTTTGATTACAGTGTTTCACATTCAGTGATGTGCTTTGATATCAGGTATGTTTCACATTCAGTGTTTTACTTTGATACAAGTGTTTCACATTCAGTGTTTAACTTTAATATCAGTGTTTCCCATTCAGTGATGTGCTTTGATTACAGTGTTTCATATTCAGTGTTGTACTTCGATTACAGTGTTTCACATTTAGTGATGTGCTTTGATTACAGGTTTTA